ATATATATCCAAATTCGTTCACAATAGACTTTACTTCAAAATTTCGTCCTCCGTCACGTATATAACGAGGCAGGATATATTCTGTAATCTGATCAACATTCCGGATTGCTTATTTAAAATCTAGCAGCGTGGATATGCCTACTCTATCAATCGTTGGTAGTTGGTGTGCAATGCTCCGCATGACACGTGACGCTATTCACCGCAGTTGCGATTACATACCACAGGAATTACACCGATATGCACTGGCCACACTCCTTCCGGTCTCCAGACACACCACCCTACCCTTCCCATGCAATACTGTATAGGCACGAGTGCTTGGTTTAAGCCCTTTCATATAGACACTGCGTTGCACGCAAACACACACACGCTCACATACTCTCATATACTCTGACATGCACAACATACTCTCATGCACACAAACGCAACAGTGTAGGCAGTGGTGATGCTGCGGACAAAGGGCATAGGGCCGTTGAGCGTGGTGTTGGTTAGAGCCATGTGCGAATAAGGGCGCGTGCTACCCACCCACAGGCGGGCGGCTACGTAGCTGAAATATACCAGTGCTCCTATATAGCTTACACACACATACTTTTAACGTTTTCTGCTTGTTATTGGAGTTGGCTATACTCGCGGAATAGCTACGTTTATTTCCCTCCCTCGGCCCCCCGAATTCTCTGTTATATTCATCGCAGCTGAGTTTCTATCTGTTGCCTATGTATTACAGATATTAAAGCGGACGACTCCGCTTCAAATTCTACCCACAGCTACAGAGTGGGAGAAGCTCCGCTCAGTGCAGGTAGGCGTAGACCAGTACTCGTATACCTGTTTGTTATACCTACATGAACGCGTAGTTGTGTACTTGGCTGTGGGTAGATAGCGTGTACGTGCATGGCGACACAGACTATATATAGAATGTAACTTACAGATATGTAGCGAAATAGCAGACACGTGTCTTGTTTGCCGCAGGTCTTGAAGCGGCACGATCACTAAACCAGAAATAAGATAACCATAGTTAAGGAAGACCTACACACTCACCACTACCAAACATACAAGGTAGCTGCTGTAAAATATAAGCTTAGTACTCCAACGCACCTTAATAAGAAGTAAATACCATGTGCTTGTGAGAGATGTAATATGCCTTATGAATCTATGGTGTATAGGCCTTAAGTTGCACATAGGTTATATATATATATATATATCTACATCTATCTACATCTATATATATATATATATATATATATCTATATATATATATTATATAATATATATATGTATATATATATATATATGTATATAGTATATATGTATATGTATATATATACA